ATTTAATTATTTTCACAATTGATTACATCTCATAGAAATTAGTATGTTAAATTCTACCAATTGGAATGATGTTTAAAACGGTCTATAGGAAATTCGACTGACTAGCGAAACCTACCTAAAACGAATAATTGAGACAAATTGTTAAATTATCTTGGTTTTAGTATTTACAATTGGTGTCAGAGCAAATTCACTTTTAAAAAGAGAGATCTACATAAAATCTAGTAATGGACTTAGCACCGTTTAGACCTCCTGCCTTAGACATGACTAATTATACATATTGAAAAATTAGAATGCAAGTTTATGTCCAATCTTTAAATGAGAAAGCATCGCACTCGATCATGTATGTCTAAAAAAATTCCACCGTAACCGAAAAAGGATGTAGGAAGAGAAATGAGCATATGAGTGGGTGACTACTGATTTTAATAGTGCTAGTTGGAATTTTAAAGACCTAAATGCTATTTTCTGATTCTAATCAATTTCGTTTAATTTTTACATGCAAGGTGCCTAAGAGGCGTGTGACATATTACAAGTTGCTCATGAAGGAACCCCAATTGTAAAGTCCTCTAAACTCCAAATGTTGACGTTTGAATTTGAGCAACTAATAATGAGAGACAATGATTACTTCAAAGATTTCTATGCCAAACTAAGTGACATCACTAACTCAGCCCATACCTTGGGAAAGAACACTCGTAAAGTAAAATAGTGAAAAATATTTTCGGATCAGTGACTGATATGTTTTACTCTAAATTAACCGTTATCAAAGAAGGCAATGATTTTTTAGCTGCGGATTTTAGGGTTTCCATGCCCTAAATGAGATGCAATCTTTACCTTCAATATAGCAGCTTATACAAAAATATATATTTACCATCTTGGGCTGATTTGATTGGTCAAATAATTAAAAGAAGGAAAGACTGTTTTAACTAATTAAAACATTTCTTAATTTAATTATTTACCATATCAAACTTATTCTACATTATTCTTACCATGAAAAACTGTTGTATTTTAGGTAAGAGACGTCCATGCCTTGGAGGAGTTTTTATATAAGTGGAGAAAATCATTAAGGGATGAACCAATGTTTTGGGAAAAATTTGCAATGTCCCATGAACCTACAACAAGAAGTTTTGTCTTCTAACCATCTTTAGTGAGTTCTGCAGGGGCTGATGTTAGCTATTTACTTTTGATTGTTTTTGTTAATTTTGTGAAATTACAAAATCGAAACTGTTGTATTTTTATTCTTTGATAGTAGATTATTTTACTCGTGGCAAGGAGGTCCATGGATGATTTTATCACGTTATATTTGATGTTCAATTTAATTTATTTTCGCAATTGATAACATTTCGTAGAATGCTAGTACCTGTCAGAATGGTTTTTAAATTTTTTGTAGGAAGTTCTGCCTGACGAAACCTAGCTAAAACGAATTATTGAGACAAATTGTTAAATTAATTGGGTCTTGATGCATTATCCTGCCATGCAATACTTAAAAAAAAAAAGTTAGTAAAAAGACAAACATTTGGAAAATATATACTGGTTTTGATACCATAATATGGGGAGAAGTAATGATAGGGTTCTGAATATTAGCGGAAAAGAACGGCAACTTTCGGTTATCAAATATTACTCTCTTTCTATTGGATCCACCAAGGTTGAGGGACGGAGAATTTTGGCTTCTGATGAGGCTTACTTGCTAGAATTTTTTTACTTGCTTGGTTTGGAATGATACAACTTAGTCTCTCTACACACTTGATAAGGAAAAGTCCATTTTAGTGTAATCATAGCAAATATTGAGTTGAGGATGTAATTCACGAGAATTCAACACATTTAACATACTAACGTTATCTTCAAAATAGTCTAGCCCCATGCAATGACTTACTAGCTGTAAATTTTTTACTTGTTTGGTCTGAAATGATACAATTTAGTCTCTCTGCATGCTTGATAAGGAAAAGCCAATTTTAGTGCAGTCATAACAAACATTGAGTTGATGATGTAATTCAAGGGAATTCAACACATTTAACGCACTAACGTTACCTTCAAAATAATCTAGCCCCAACAAAAGGTTTTAGCTCCTACATCAAATATTTCCCAAAACTCATTTTTAATCAAATTTTTTCATAGAATAAATTTATACGTAAACTCAAATTTTTCCCTTATTTATTAGTCACGCCCTTTAAAAAAAAATCACCATTTCAAAAAATTCAACCAAAAAAGAGGTCTCAGTTTTTTGATGAAAATAAATTTTGAAATAGTGATTTTTTAGAATATGTGGTTAAAAATAAAAAAAAAATTAAATTTACATGTTAAATAAAAATATTTCGTAAACATGTGATTAAAAATTTGTTTTAATGTAGACAAATAGGAATTTGGTCTTTAATGGTTGACAACAGGGGCTATAAAATATGAGCCACAAAATATCTCTGACGTGTCATCTCCTTAAGCATTGTAAGTCATTAACCAACAATTTTCAGCCACCAAACAGCATACGTGTTTCATGTTACCTCATTTGCTTTTACAACTGGCCTATATATCCCCAAACTTCATAGTCGGTAATTTCTCCATCAAATCTGAATCCATGGATACATCAAAGGTATATTCGAGCTAATATATAGAAATACTTTCTTAATTTATATGTTGAGGCTGATTTTTGTTATGTTGTAGGGTAGTGAAAGGATAAACAAGGAAGGGGATGTGGAGATTAAGGTAGAAACTGTGGACCACCGGACGCCGCCAGGCGAGAACCAAGAACCCAAGGATGAGAAGGTGGAGATAACTCATGTAATTCCTTCAGATGACAAGCACGGAACTCGTAACGTTGTAGGTGAAGCTGTTGGCAAGGTGGTCGAAAATGTTCAATCGGCAAAGCAAGCAATTTCTGGCGCCCACAAAACTGAGTAATTTATGGTTACAGAAAAGTTGAATTTTTAAATATGAGTTACGTTTGATCCCTGCTTGTGGTTATATGATGTTTATCTTCTTTTAATAAAAATAAATATTTAAGACTTGTATTAATTATTATTATTATTTGTTTTACCAATTTCAGAGTATTTTTGTATTTATTGTTTGATTTATTTATTTTTAAATTTTTTTTTTTTGTCACTGTGTGGTATGTCCAAGTTTAATAAAAACATTAGAAGGTGAAATCGCTCGTACTTGCAAACTATATTAAGCCCTTTTTTGGTTTTGATAAAAAAAAAAATCAATTTTTAAATAAATTATGAAAATGATTTCGGGAGGAGTGAATTTTAAAAAATGAGGGTTCCCATAGACTCTTTAAAACACAAAATATAATTCAAATAGTTGATTCGGAGAGTGTTCTGTTCTCTGCTACAATAATTTATTTGAAACATACCAACGAATTCTACTTCTCTGCAACTTGAGCCTCACAGAAATTAGTTCCATGACCAACCCACGGATTCCTCTCCTTAAAAAATGAATTCTCTTTACGGCGTAAAAGAAACCCTAGTTTACATGCTTATTATTCTCTTTATAATATTATTGTTCTTCTCTTTCAAATACCACTTAAACAAAGTAACAGGATAAAATAGTTCGAATCACCGATGGGACGACGAATTTGCTTTGTGCTTGAAGGCAGTAAAAAAAATCTCAAATTTTATCTCTTGCGAAAGCAGCATTATAGCAAAGTAAAAGTTTTAACGAATTCAATGTAGTGTGTTTTGTACTCGAGAGAGGAGAGTTCCAGACAAAAGAATGTTTGCAGTGAAAATTGTGCATTTTTTCTTGCAATGAGGCGAATTATTTATTGTTTATTTGTGATCATTCTAATAGTTTACAAGCCTCTTCTAAAAGTGTTAATTGTTCAAATAACTTTTCAAAATGAATACAAATCGTAACCATACATTTCATTAATATGTCAGTTCTCTCTTTTACAGACTTCTATTATAGAAAAAACATGCTCATGGACTTTGGATTCGTCGAATCCAATATGATCTCACGTGAGATCATTCACTCCAATGGTCCATTATTGTCCTAAACATAGCTTTGATAATCATTTTGTTTGTGAGAACGTTGCCACAGGGTTATCTAGTCATTCATATACTCCATCCTCTCATGAAGAGAACAATTCTACTAATCATGAAGAAAATAATAGCAATAATCCCGGAAAGAATAATATAAAGGCAAGATTTGGAGAGTTGCAACAGGAGCAGAAGATTTGGTAACGATGGGAGCAGAACAACAAAGCAATCGAAGACTGATTACTTACTCATAGTCTAATCCTAAACTCATGTCTCATGTAATCTGATTGTAAATGATTAAATGTGCGTATAGTAACTCTTGAATCAATGGAGAAATACACTTCTATTTCACTTTTTCTTCTTAAAAGTTCACCAATGACACACACTTGCACTCTTGATTTTTAAGAGATGAAGACTAAAATTAAGGATTTCAACTCGAACATTTAAACTCAGTGTTTGTTATCCCTAACCTCTATCATGATCTAAGTGATTTCTTCCACAAGTTATTTGGCATGTAATTCAATATTTTCACGACAATTGTCTAGTGGTATTATTCTGGAGAGCCAAAGTCCACGAAAATCCCGGCCAGAGAACACATAAACCTCGACTCTGTTGACTTGCTTGAAGAATGCTAAACCACCGTGTGCGCTATTGTTACTTCCAAAGTCATCCATAATATATTCAGCCTCAAAAATTGGGAAAATGCATCCACCAGCAATGATCTACTAGTCAACACTAAAAGCAGCCATACCATAGCAATAATTTACTTCAGGAAGTAAATCGTACTCAAAAGCATAGAAATGAAAAAAAAAAAAAAATCCACCATAGCGTGGGATACTGGCAGCTGAATCAATTAACATCATCTTTTCCCATATGCATAAAATGAAAAAAAAAATTAAAAAAAAAAATCATTACATTTAGATGGTACCTGTCAATCTAGAAAATCATTTAAGCTCAACTAGGAAGCCTTGCCAGTGCAAAAGTAGTAGCCAAAACTTCAATGTAATCATTAGGAGAAGCTGTCTTGAAGAAAATTCATCCACTACTACGTCTAAAATGCTCTTTTATAAATTTTTCTCCATAAGAAGGGTACTCATCCCGAATGTAGGCTCGAAGACACTTCTGGTAAGAGAAGTCTATCCATCCACCATCTATTCTTACAACAAAGAGGCACCTTGAACGTTTGAATTGGGGATGTCGATCAACCTTCAAAGCGAGAAATTGAACAGCTTTTAAGTCACTGTATCTCATAATAGAAATAACCAGTTGGCTTTCCCAGATAATTTTTAATCAGCTTCATAACTTCATAATATTATTCTCGATTGCCACAATTATGATCATTTTACAGTCATCAAAGATTATGATAAATCTACCAATTAGTTACCCTTTGAACATAATAGCAGCTAAAATCATCAGGTAAAAGGACACACTAAGAAAGTTACATCTAGATGTCTACTACATGCTCACAGGTTTGGGTACTAGGTCGCCCAAGAGATAGGTCACCTAAAGAAGGCTCCTCTCTGACAAAAAGCCCACAAGACAGCCTTAACTACCATGATTATAACAACAGGGAAAAGGAAAATTAATAGTTGTGTGAATAAAATAACAGAAAGAGAACTTAAAATCAAGGATATTGCTGCAGTTGATCAAGTCAAATTGATAGGTTGATTGTCCTTAATGACATGCAGAACTAAATATTTTACTGAGACAGATATGTAAATCATAAATATGATTTAATCAAATAATTCCCATTCTTGCAAGTCATCCTCAGATGTTAGACTCAATAGATGAGGTTGGCGAACGTAAGATTTTGGATCTAGAAATTATTAAGCAGATAGTGCAAGCTATCGAGAAAATCCGTAACAATATGAAAACAACTCAAAACAGACGGAAGAGCTACACAGACGAGGAGAAAGGACTTGGAATTTTTTGAAGGTGACAAGATATTCTCAAAGTGGGGCCTATGAAGTGTTATATTTCGGTAATAAGGGAAAGTTATGACTGAGATTCATTTGCCTGTTCGAAATCTTGAAACACGTCGAAAGTGTGACATATCAGTTAGCCTTATCCCTTGAACTTTCAACATTACATGACATCGTTCATGTGTCCATGCACAGAAAGTACATCCTCGATCCTAATCATGTAGTGAATTATCCATTTGAGTTACAATGTGGTTTGAGCTACGAAGAAGTCCCAGTCAGAATTATCAATCAGAAATTTCAAATGCTCAGGAACAAAGTGATCCCTTTAGTAAAAGTGCAGTGGCGTAATCACTCAGCTAAAGAAGTTATTTGGGAACGAGAAATGGAAATGCCAGCCAAGTACCATCAACTCTTCGAGGAGTTGAAAGGCAAATTTCGTTCTCGGAATTTTAAAGGGTGTAGATTGTAAAGTCTTGAATTCTTACTACTAGCCGTTAAATATAACTTTTGGACTTATTTGTGCAATTATTAAAGTCTAGTGACCCTATTGATTATTGGCCAATAGTTTAAAAACTTACATGTAATTATTCTAAGATAATCTTAGTTGGGTGATGTTGGAAATTTATATATAGATATTGGTCTTAAATTGTAGCCCAAAATTAATATGGTATAACAGGATGAATAAAACATAATTTCAAACGAACAAGTCTTGTTCTCGATATTAATTGTGTAAATATCATATGGAGTTTTATTCATTGATATGTGCACCAATGAATGTTGGATTCTACGTACATGCATGAGTATATTTGCACATATATTATGCTTAATGAAGAAGAGTTTTCTTGGAAGAAGTGAAATCTGAGAGCACATTGAATATATTTACATAAATTGTTATGGTGAAGTACATATTGTATTATATATAATAAATTTTAAATGTCAGATCATGGATTGGATGAAATCATGTGTGAATGTATGTATGTTAATTGGCCATTATAAATTTGTGTGGAGCCCATGATTAAAGATAATTGATTTGACCACATACATTCTTTATACAAAATTTCAAGCCAAGACAACATATTTCATGCATTGATAGTGCCTTGCATCTAGTTATTTCCTTCTATTTTTCTACACTCGATCCAAGAATTGACACTATAAATATGAAACACACACAATACCACACATACCCACAATTAATTCACATACTCTCTACCTTTATTACTTTTTATCTCTCTACCTTTACATCTCTCTTTCCCTCTTCACCTTTAAACACATTAAATATATTATACCCACGTGAGAATAGACAAGAACAAGCAACTCGAGTTTCGGTCCAACAATTAGTTTATCATTTTGATCTATCCAGTGAAATTGTAAGTGTTATTATGTTATTTTTGTGAGTAATCCTCCAAAGCTATATTTAAGTTATGGTCTATAATATGTACAATTTTGTAACACGAAAATTTGGTAGCATCTAAGTTCGGTCCAACTTTTGTGTCTCCCTATACAACTATGAATTTTTCCATTGAAATGCATATACAAGAATTAAATTACTCACGCACGCTCATTGATATTTTATTTCACACTTTGTTTTTCTCATGTCAGAGCATAGATGATTGTAGTTGTGGGACTTAAAATAATTTTTATCAAGCATGTCTATTTATTTTAATTTATATTGAACTCGTTTCTAATTAAGATTATGTTATGTCAAACGTATTTTCTCTAAAAATACATTTGTTACGAATAATGTCGATCATGATTATTTTTATAAAAAACATTTACTCCTTTTAGTGCTTTTATTTAAGTTTATTTTATGTTTTAGTGATGCTCGGATCATTAAGGATTCAAATATCACAATTGGTATCAGAGCAAAAGTTTACTTTCTCGTAGACTTTGTAATTTCGAAAAATATGCATATTTTTTGTAACAACTTGGCTCCTATACAAGTCGTTAACTAACATAATGTCTGCTCTAAACGAATCTCAACCTTCATGGAATTCTATTGCGTCCTTAATATTCGAACTAAGACCTTCGTCTTATGAGAGACTTAAATTGAATTCTAGTACCAATTTGACAGCTATGAAAACCACACGACTTCTTAACATAAACTCAAGATTTTTTCATTACAAACTAATTCTGCAATTAAGAAAGTTGAAGATGAACTTCTTAAAGAATAATAAGTTAGAGACTAATACTATAATTAATTTACCTTGTTTACAAAATTGATTATGATTTTCAGATATATAAAACTGTTTTATGATTAGGGTATTGAAAAATATGGACAAAAACCAAATATTGGATAATCAAATCTAGCTAGCTTGACCTAGTGGATGCAGTTTTTAGGGTATAACGACTATAGCTAGGGTAATTACTATACATGCTTTCTTTGCCCAATTGTTACTATAATTAAAAATGTCTTTCATAAGGCATAAATCTTAGATTCAAACCTTGAGAACGCGATAGAAATTTGTGAGGAGTAAGATAGACTTCGGCTCGCCAAGAGCGGACAGTTAACGAATTAAACATAAAGATCGAGTCGTTACAAGGAATACTACAGAGATCATCTTATGAGAAATTCATGTGTTGTTTAGACTTCACTAAAAATATTAAACGACAATGTTGCTTAGCCTGCATATTTAGTAGTTAATTTGCATCAAAATCTTTAATTTTATGCACCCCGAGACCTTGTTCTTTTGCATCATTGGATGAAAATAATAATAACTTAGGGTTTAGGAGAGGGAAGATGGATGAATTGTGAGAGTTTGGGGGAGAGTGGAGATCCTTTTCTTTACTTCTCTAATTATATATATATTTTTTATTTGAATGTAAGGGAATATTTTCTTTCTTAAATGAATTTAAACCTGCTTTGACATAAAAAAAATCATAAAGGACTTATTTGCTACGGAATAACAAGAAGTTTGAGGACCTGCTTGCCAAGAAAGTTGAATGGGGCCTCCAGTGTCAATCGATCGAAAGAATGAAAACAACGGTTGTAATTTTCCTAGGTTTTAGTTAATAGAAATTGTGAAACAACACATTAATTCACTTGCAAACACAACCACCTTCAACTTTCCACAAATGGATTGCCTCGAAATGCAATCTTGTCCAAGGCAATACCTTATTGAGTGCTTGTTTGGTAGTACTTTTAAATGTTTATAAGTTGTGAGTCCTATGGAATGTTTGGATAATAAGTGAATAGTTGCAGGTCCTATGAAATGTATAGATAATAAGTATGTTCGACCAACTAAAATTATAAATTAAGCTTTACCAAACATGCTCTGAAATTCAAATTTGCACACAGAAACCCAAGAAATATTCCAACACAACATCATATCTAAAGTAAACTCGAATAAGTCTTCTGTTTTTAGTTTTACAATAATAGTCTATTTGAAGGAACAACCAATTGATTAGAGAAGTACATTTTATTTATGAATCCACGGTACCAGATAGCAATCAATTGAGGTAGGACTTCTAGAAAAAATTAACCCAGCATTTTATGGAATTGAAAGCAACTTAAAATCTTAGTTTCTAATATGCTAGCTAACTAACCCTTTTTTTTTTGGTGGAATTGAGGGAACAAAAGCAGGTTTACCAAGTTTGCAAATAAGTCAACTAAACATAAAGAAACTGACCATAATTGAATCAATTCCACATCCAATCTTATCTTCTGAATGAGGATGATAAGCGAGAAGCTTATCTACCACAGCTTTCTCATCTTCTGCAGTAAGACGTTCTCCATCCATATACCTGGCAGAACGATGATAGTCAATCAAGGAGAATCGAGTCCATCCATATATAATATAGGGATGAATGCATTATAAGCAGCAATATATTAGTTCATTGGGATGGAAAAATAGTAATAGTGTGGATATGTGTTATTACAAAAACTGAGCAGAGTTAATAATAATCTAGAATAGAAATATAAATGTGGTCTGTGGGTGATATGCAAGAGGGAAATCATAATTTGAATTTCGCAGCTTCCAGCATTATAAACCTGGGAAGCATTCTCGTTTTCTGTAAGCTATGATTCTTATCTTTTTTTGGATGTTTGCCTGGCTACTTTCTCATAATCATTGTATATTTGTCCATTTAAATTTTTCCGATCAGCAGTTGAAGTAAGGCCAAACTCTACCAGTCCAAAATGTCAGTACACACCATAATTAAAACATATCATCTTCACACTACGGTCTTGGTTTGATCCAGTATCACTATTAGGTGAGAATTCACAATGTGGCATTAGAGAAGTGCGAGACTAGGGTGGACCACGGGGTACCAAGTCACTTTGTATCTTTTTTAAGCATTAAGAAGATAAAGAGGGAAATAAACTAAGTTTTAACAGAGGGTAAAGTTTCCATTTTGGCGAAGTGAATTTAATGTTCAACCAGTCAAACAGATGTGATCACATCCAAATCTAACAGCAGTATCTAGAAATCTAAATCATCAAGACTAAGCTTTTCAGAGAATTACATTGTCATGTATTGCAGTGACAAGAAGGCTACTCTTTTTATTTTTTATTTTTTTCTTTCCACTGCATCATTCATAATTATAACAAGCAAAACAATCTATAACCATCTATACATAACATCTCAACAAAACTCACCATTAGGAAAAAGCAATATAAATTGTAGTTTAAAATATCTCGCCAAAAAAGCTGCATTTTGGCATAGTCAAGTATGCTAAGGCAAGCATAAGAAAATACAAATACAACACCTTGTTGCCATTGATGAATCTCTAATATTCTATTTTGATTAAAAATAAAATAAAATATATTAATTAATCATCAAATAATATTCATGAATGATATAATGATGTGTTAATACTTTTGTTCTGCTAATCATAAACATAAATTATATTTTGGAAAAAGCTCTAGTTACAACAACTAAAAGCAGGGAATCTCTAAGAAGGATAAAGAAAACTGAAAATGGGCAATAATTAAGAGATAGTTTCCTGAAAAGTACGTAAGCTAAAAACATAAAAGAAAGAATAAAAAAATCTCACTCTGTACACCCACGTTATTGGCTGGAAGATATCATTTTCTTTTTTAATCAGTTCTCATATTCCTACACATTTTAATCTTTTATTTATTTCATGGTTGTACAGAAATTATTTCCCATGGATTGTAGATTCCAAGTTGCTATTTACAGTTGAGGAAATTTTAAGTGTATCTACCCCTCCTGTCTTCAATTTGCAACACCTTGCTTTCCAATCTTATGCTTTACTCAAGGCAGTATCGAGGCAAATTTAGGTAAATCTCTGATCCATAAAGACTAAGAATGGTGGCATCAACCCAATAGGACTGGCACACCTGATCTGTACAAACCATTCCAGAGAATAGACAATATAACATTTTGGATGGGATGAAATTGGTTTGTAAAAGTAGCAGTAGCTCCCAATAATTGGTCTCTACACGTAGTCATAATAGTACTGCATAAATATCATACTGTAAAATACCAAATGTAAAAGCATTATCCATAAGTTGCACATCCAAAATTACTAACAATAAACCATATAGGCTATATTATGTACAGCAAAGTATCAGCATATAGTTATTCTTATTGGTCCACTTGAGAAATAACAAGTTCTTAATTTTAGTAGAAATAAATAAACTATTCTGCAGGGTTTACATGTCTGACAAAGCCTGCAGCCTACAGAAGAAATTGAGTTAACTTCAAGCAAGAAAACGCAAATTCTAGTCATACAAGTTACATGCCTACTATTGCTGTCCAAAATTCATCTAAGTCTCCACTGTAATTACTTTGTGGATTGCATTTCACTTGACCATCAACAATTCCTTTCCATGTGCTCGGGGTAGTCGTCTTGTACAAATGTATTTACTCCATAACATGAAGTCCAAGATTACAAGCCCTGCTATTATTTTGTGGATTGAATTTCACTTGATTGTCTATGGTTCCATTGCTTGTGCTTGAGGTAGACGTTTTATGTAAATTTATCTAATCCATCTCACAGAGCCGAATCTCAGGTCCGGTATCAGATGGTAATTGGAAAAGCCCCAGGATTTCTGTTGATCTCGAGTTTATGTATCTCATACACTACCATGGAATCCCTTTCCCTATTAACATTGGCCTAACACCATGATGAAAACTCTAGTCACCGGTTAGTTATATATATTCCACAGATTTTACGAGAATGTGCAAATTTCAGTCCCCTAATGTGGAGAAGGTGTGCAACTATAAAAACATCACAAAAGATTAGCAATTCCATCAAAGCTTCTAACCACATTGGGCACAAGCTTCCAAAATGTTCCCCTCCTCACCAGATTGCGTTAAATTACAGCTTTGTAATGTAGCTATAACATCATGTGGCATCACCTAGAACCATATGACATATCGCCAAGAGCAGGAATGACCATGTACTCCCTCCCTTTGGAGCTCATGGAGTATCATATCTTGAAAGGAAGATGTGGGTTTAGAAGCCACAGCAATATGCTATTTTTTCAATGTTTCCGCAGATTAGGAGGTACCATGCAATAATGAAGGTAACTGAAATAACACTGTACAAAAACTTGTTTGTGCAAAGTTTTACTCAGAATTTAGACCAAAATATACTGCTTAACTTCAAGAATAAAATTACACTTTAATCTCACTTCAACCAAACTACATATTAGGATCAATTGTTATTGTCTTTGTGATAGAACATCATAAGAAATATTTTTTATACAGAAAAACTCATCAGTCAGTGTTATTCAGCAGACCCCAACTTCAACATTACTCAGAAATATTTTTGACAATGTGAAGTGCTTCTAAGTTTAACAGTATAACTACATGGAAAACCACGTATGTACCCCTGTAATGTGTTTTACAGGTATTCTTACTTTCCTAATTTTATGCATGTCTAGAAGTTTTCAGCATAGAGAACAATGACCCACCGCTGCCAATTCACACAAAGGAGTTTGTCTTCAGAATTCTGCAACCCTGTACCAGTTACTGCATAATATTCTTTCATTTCTGGTTTTTCGTTCATTATATATTTTGAAATGATTTATCCACTCTTTCAGGCTTTCAGCATGCAGGGGCAAACTATTTCAATAATATGTATGATAAATCATGAGCAAAATATAGTGTGAGAGAGTTGGTCCTTTTAATTTGGCATGATAAGCACTTAATTAACGTCATATACCTTGAGTTCTATCCAATTCACTACAACCCAATGTTTGCATCTAAAAGAACACATACTAATTAGCAAAGTAAAATTATGGGGTTTCAGAATGATGATAATAGTTTTAGACATGATCCAAGTATGGTTATAAACTAAATTCACAGCTCTGCTTGTTTCAGCTTCTCTTATAAATCTTTCAACTCAATGCCATATCAGAGACGAAGCACACCTGGAAGATGATCTACTTAACATATTCCACAAGGTAGCCACTATTTCAGTTTAAATTGGGATAAAAATTCAGACTAAATCTTGGGTTCACTTTCAGTAATAAAAGCCATAGAAAGACAAAATGATAGATACTGAATTACTCTTAGAATCTTGATTTATGTAATTATGTTCAATGCAAAGGTTTCATAGCTTAAACTCCAGAGGAAATCACAAACCCACCAATGCTCGATGGCAGCATGGGAAAACATGTGTTATCTTCCAAAGTTGAAAGCAGAACAATCTATGTACACCATATACAGAGACAAATAACATGGAAAACTAAGCTACATACGAAAAACCAAGCAAGTTAAAAGTGTTAAGACAAGCACCTTGGACTCTATAATGGTAAAGAGGAAAGTCCAGGGGAAGGGGAGGAAGAAACAAACAGACAATAGTCCATATAATTATAAAGGAAAAAATGAAATGGATGGACAGAGGAGGATTGCATATTCTTCAGCCACGCATTCTGATACCTCAAAGTTAATAGCACACAGGAAATACACATTATCTTGTATTACTATAATCATAATCATGAAACAAAGAATAGTATTATCTAGCACCAGTAGTATTAAATACTACTAAATGGGCCATAATTCCTTGCATTTAATTGAATCTGTAATTTAGTGCCACTATAGATGCCACTAGACTGGTGTTAAATACCAGTGGTGCTAAGTAGCATTACTCTTAAACAAACTTATGCTATAAAAGTCAGCCATATCAGATAGTAGGTCACAACCCAGACAAGACACACATGCAAGACAGGCAATATAATTTTCACTCAAAATAATAAATTGCTTATGTTCTTTGGTTGATACACTGAAAAGTGAACTTCTTTGCCTCCAGATATGTGAAATGTAACAAAGAAACAGCTTCTTCTGCATCATTTTAGGTACTACTACGTTTGCTACACTGTCTTCCATACTCATTTTTCCTCTCCTAGTGCATTCTCTTCCATCATGTCCATGTATATACTACTGGGTAGCATTGTCAACACAAGTTATGCATCATAGCGATAACACCATTCATTAAGATGTCTCTTACATAAGGGGAGCAAGGAAAATAATATATCATTCAACAGCTGGTTTTGTACAAGGACCGGAAATTGTTGCCAAAATGTTCAAAAAGAAAGGCCTTCTCAATTGTACAACCATTCACATAAGATAGTAGTCTAAATCAAACACATTATTCGCTTCAAATTAAGAACATTCATAGCATGTTTGGTTAAGCTTAAAAAGCTCATTATTTTAAGTAAACAACTAAGCTATAAATTAAATAATTTTTTATGGTCAAAGTTGAAAATAAGTTTCTTACTTTGACTTTAATGTACTAGTCATTTTCAAAATAGAAAACATTTAAGATAAAACTAACTTATCCAAAGAGTCTTAAATTCAATCCAATTCATGTAGAATTCAGATAATCTCCTGGAGAATTCTAAGAGCCTGTTTGGTACAGATTCTCATTTTCTACAGTAAATTAATTCTCATTTTCAACCACACATTCTTCAATCAAATAATNTCATTTTCAACCACATCTTCTTCAATAAAATAATATTTTCCATCACATCAATACTTTTTTCTTCTTTTTCAACCACACATTTCCCCTCATATCACTATTCAAAAATCAATTCTTCCCCCAAAAATTCCTACCAAACACACTCTAAATCCAATTTACAGGGATTTGGATAATCCAATTTAGCTTATAGAAAAGACGCCCCTAGAGATACAATTCAATCGTTTCTGGTTAGTAGAAAATAATTCATCTCTTTCGCCATCTGCTGTACAAGTTTCATAAGAGGGTTCTTCAAGTGTGGATTTTCATGCTATTTGCTCGTGTTTGAAAACATGAACTACACAGTGAATATTGTGGGTTATCCAGGGATATTATGTTTGTAAACAAAAAATTGGTTATAAGCAAGCTTTGGTTGCTTTAAAGCAGAGGCAAAAATGTTCAGAATATAATCATTTCAGTGGTTAAATCTTAATGGAGTTTCAAGAGCTGCCCGGTTAATTTGTTATAACTTTATGAACCCATATTATTCGCACAAAATATCTCATTAGTGCCACAAATTCCTAAACCCAGAAATCTCAAAGATACATGACCAAAATAATAATAATAATAATAATAAAAAATTATAAACATAACTTATCAAACATTATAACGAATGGAGGATAGGAGCAACCTATTACCTATCAGAGTGGAGGATTTCTTTGGTGAGGCAAATAATGGGCTCGATATCTTCCAGAATTTCTGCTTCTTTCTCTTTCCATTTTCGGAAATCGGAGTCGTCCCGTCCTGAGTACTTGGGGTCTTTAGTGCTCAGTCCAGTGTTGATCTGGCCCAGAGAGGGCGAGTTTTTGTCAGTAGGAGTTGACTCGGCGGCGCTGCACCAGGGCCGACGTGTTATTGAGGGCCGACACTCAGCTTTTACTACGCGGTGGAGGAGTCGGAGGCGAAGAAGAGGTAGAGCTCTGAGGAGCGTTGCAGCCATTCGTACAACCATGGACTGTGGACACTGCTATAGAAGCTTGTAAGTCCTCCACTTTTTTCTAAGTTATTGGCCTTGCACGTGCACTAGTATCTACCTATACTAAAAGAGGCCAAGGCAAAATCACTGTTCACAAGCTGTTCATGGGTGGTTCAGCGGTTTCAAGGGTGTCTTTGAATACATCTCGCGCGGACGTCAGAGGTTCGATTCTTCTTATGTCGTTTTTCTGTGTGGTTAATTTTTTACTGATCCTAATCCAACAAAAGAGGCAGTTGTCTCTTACCAAAAAACTATTCCAAAGCAAATCAGAAACCCTATTAATCGCATTCCCTTCTCCAACCCCGTTCCTCTATTTGGTACTCCAAAAACCCATCATCTTCTTCAGGCTTTCGGCGGTACATAACGAAGCCGTGGGAAATAGCTGGAGAGTAGTTCACTCTCTGTAAAATATTTGTATTTGCAGTCCATTATCCGTTCTTTTATCCTTTCCCATCTTCTTCAGAAGCACCTAGCCCTACAGGCCGACACCATCACTGGTACAGCTCCGGGTTACTGATACAACTCCTAAGTCACGAGTTATTCTCATTTCTTTTCAGCTTCAGGTTATGACATCGAGCCGTCCTGTGTAGTTTTTCATATTTTGGTGTTTTTTTTTTTATAAATCGGTCATGACAGAGAGTTTTTCTCATTTTCTTTTCAGCTCCGCATCAGATCTTATTCCCAGCTCTCGCATCCTGTATCGCAACTAGCCGGCCACCTTTGACAATTTACGACAACCCGACACCGATACTTCTCCACCTTGTACGTCACTTTGATCACCTACAACCAGCGGTCGATACTTCTCCAGCTCGGAAGTCAAGGTACTTCCAAATAACAGTACTGGAAACCTTGCTTCAGCTGCTGGCCATTTTGTTCGGTATAGGTAAGGTTTTATTCTTAGGGGTTTCTCAATTCTGCTTATTCCTTGAGTTGCAACGATTTTTTTACATAATTTAGGTTGGGTTTTTTTATGGTGATTTGAATTTGGGGGAATTGTTTATCTTGATATTGGAAATTATGGTGATCCACGATTTTTTTGATTTAGTTGGTAAGTTATCGTTTAAATGGATAAATTGGCTTTGTTTGTTCATATTTTGTCTTTTCTTGTATATTTAAAGTTGAAATTTGCAAGACCACTGCATTCTTTTTCATGAAATAGGAGGCGTACTTTTGGGCAAAAAAACTATATCCAGTACTTACATGGAAATCCAACAAAATATTTTAAATTTTTTTTCCAGTAATATTATAACCTCCTTAAACCTTTGAAATTGGATGTTTTGATTTTTTATTTGCCTGAAGGCTATCCTGCACCACTTCTTTGAGATTTAGTTTGAGCACCTTATTTTAGTTCATTTATTGATATTTTTTGTGTTCCTCATGCTCGGCAGAAATTTTATTTTTGAATAAAATTTCAGTAATCCCAAGCTTGGAAAGTTGATTTATTGAAGTATAAAGATGGATTCTCGCATAACTTAAATTTTCTAGGTATATTCTGAATCAACTGGCTGTGTGGATATGAATTGAATATTTAGCTACATGCATTCAAGTGTAGTGTTGAGATTTTCTCCCCTACCTCTTTACTTTGATCAGATATTGTTCCCGTAATCCTATAGTTTACCATAGAACAATTTTTTGTATCCACTAATTTTTTAGTAGAAAAATTGAGGCGGACTAGATGGGCAGAGCCAAAAGGGGCCGGCCTAAAGACCAAACTTAGATATAGGTGATTTTCATTCAAAATGAAGCCCATATTTGGTGGGGATTAAAATTAAAATTTGTTTTTTAGTAGATTTTATAGAAGTTGATGAAATATGTGGTTGAAAAGTGTTGGCCCCCTATAATATGTGGTTAAAATTAATTATTAACTTTGATTTGGGGCTAAAATTATAAATACATTTTCTGCTGAGAGCACAAAAAATGCAAAAAATATCAAAAGATTTGGCCAATATATTTACTCCATAATAAGAGTTGAAGGAATGTTGTCGTAGGGAAACAAATGTTTGAACACATATTTTATAGATTTAAATCTCTTACGTGGATATATTTAAACATTACATTTTACTTCAAATTTAGATCTAAATTCTTGAAATTTAAAGACCCAAGAAGGCCTTCAAATTCATACTTTTTTAAAGGTACACTGCCTAAGATACGCGCATCGTACATAGTCGTAGCAATCTCAAAATTTATTTGTAGAAGAAAAATTGGATTACATTGAATTATTAGTTTTCACTTGAGTAGTTGACTTGATTGTAATATTTGTAATTTCCAAGTTATATCAAAGGCAACCACATTTCAGCTATAAAAAGCTTTACTTATGTGCTTATTCTATCCTATTTGATATCGGCTATGTTCAAACTGTTGAACAGTGACTCGAGCTTATTTTAGGAACGTATATATTTTCCTCGCACCTTCCATTCCCTTGGTTCTTCAATTTCACTGATGGAGCGGAGTCATAAAAAAAGCTTGAAGTTCCCTGACAGTGTTGCATCAAGTTCAGCTGTTCCTCCTATTGCAACAGGTTACATCTATTTATTTTATTTCATGTGTAATTCTGAATCAAGATTCTATGGGTCTATGATGTGATGTTTACCTTATGAAGAAAACCGTCCATCGGTTGAAGCAGCATGTACCAAAGGTAGCTGTGCTACAAAGAGACCACAAATGAGTAATCGTCGTTTATGTGTAAATGTAGGTGTTAGTTCCTCAGATCAAGCTGGTTGTACCGAAGGTAGCCGTGCTACAAAGAGACCACGAATGAGTAATCGTCGTTTATGTGTAGATCTAGATGTTAGCTCCTCTGGTGCGTATATCTCGAATTCTCTAACCTTTTCGTCATTTTAGGTTTTCATCGTTCATCTTTAAAAATGGTTCATGGTTATTAATATTCCAAGTTTATTTTTTTCCTTATTTTTCGATCTCAGTATGCAGGTCTTCTGATATGGACGAGCTCCCTTCGTATAATATTTTGCCTTCTTGGACTATCTGTGTACATTGTGGTGCTATTAAGTTTAGCAAAGAAAGTAAGGGATTTTGTTGTTCAGACGGTCGGGTACACTTACAGTCTTATGCCCCGCCTACAGAACTTACATTGTTGTTCACTTCAATTTGTCAAGAGACCACGGATTTCCTAAGATATATACGTAGTTATAACTGTAATTTCTCAATGACCTCTTTTGGTGTACACTGTGATAAGAGTCTTTTTCAAGACTACAATGGGATTTACACATTTCGAATTCAGGGACAAGTATATCATTTCCTAAATGATATAATACCGTCAACAAACACTCCTTCGTACCTACAATTATACCTTTTTGATAGCGATGAAGAAATTAACAACAGATTGTCTTTTGGAAACAACCTTACTGAGGTTATCTTGACTAAACTTATTAATATCTTAAGCATAAACCCATACGTAAAGTTTTTTCGTAGTCTCGGGAGTTGCACTAATTTGAAATCACAAACAATTAGGATTCAGTGCGATCCTGGTCTTGACCAAAGGCGATACAATGCACCCATTGTTTCTCAAGTTGCCATGGTTTGTGTTGATACTAATGACACAACAGATCTTTCTGCACGTGATATTGTTGTCCATTGTATCACTGGGGAACATCATAAAATCCATCATTACTTTGGATGTTATGACCCATTGCAATACCCATTGTTGTTCCCATACGGAGAATCTGGTTGGCATCGCGGCATAAAGTTAGTAACTAAAAAACAAAGCTCTGATTCCTTTTGTAATAATGCCGATGTCATTAATCCTGACAGCTTTCTTTGCCCAAAAGACTTGATCAACAATGAGCTAAAAGGTTTTGTTCATTCCTTTAAACTATTTATCGTATCGTTCAATTTCTCCATGATATTCTACTTAAGTTCATTTGTTGATTTCTCAGTTTCGCATGGTCGTAACAGCAGGGCCAATGTATCATGCCGAGAATACTATTGTTATAAACTTCAGGTTCGTCCAAGTGTTGATTCTATACTATTGCATTCTGGTAGACTTCTTCAACAATTTGTTGTTGATATGTATGTAAAAATTGAAACTTCTAGGTTAGACTACTTTCGTCTCAACCAAACTGCTCTTCGAGCTGAATTATATCAAGGTCTTGTTGATAGTGTTCGTTTCGGAGAGTCGAGAGGTGAAAAGATTGGCCGCAGAATTGTATTGCCTCGAACTTTTTTAGGCAGCCCGAGAGATTTGAGAACACGTTATATGGATGCAATGTGCATAGTGCAAAAATACGGTAAACCAGATATTTTCTTAACCATGACTTGCAATCCAAAATGGCCTGAGATAACTGAGCATCTAGGTCATAACGATGAAGCCCAAAATAGACCCGATTTGGTTGTGCGAATTTTTAGAGCAAAACTTGAGGCATTAAAGGAAGATTTGTTAGTTAGGAATGTCTTCGGTCCTGTTATTGCTTATATTTATGTTGTTGAATTTCAAAAAAGGGGTCTTCCACATGTACATTTCTTGATAATCCTTCAAAATGAACATAAATTGAGAACGCCGGATTCTGTGGATACAATAGTCAGTGCCGAATTACCTGATGAGCAAAAGCATCCATCTTTATACTCTCTTGTAATAAAACATATGATGCATGGACCTTGCGGAGTTTTAAATCCTAAAAACGTTTGTATGAAACACAATGATACTTGCAAGTTTGATTTCCCAAAAAAATTTTGTGACCAAACTATTATAGGCAACAATTCTTATCCAACCTATAGGCGTAGAAACAATTGTAGGTCTGCAAAGGTACATAATCATTTTTTAGGTAATGAATGGGTTGTTCCATATAATGCATACTTGTTGTCAAAGTATAGCTGTCATATAAATGTAGAAATCTGTTCTTCAGTAAAATCTGTAAAATACATGTATAAATACATTTACAAAGGTCATGATAAAGTGAGTTTCTCTGTGACAGAACCAAATGATTCTGATGTATATGATGAAATAAAATTGTACCAGTCAG